ATAATACATCGTATGATTTTTGCAATTTCTCACTATCAACTAATAAAAATACCTACTAACAAAAATATTTTGCCTATGAGTAAGTACTTCCTGAAATAAATATCATGTTTAATATCCTTTCTGAGTCTAATTTTCTAATAAAGACTTTAAAAAAAAAATTATTTTAAAATAAAATTATAAAAAATTACAAGGAGATCAATGAAAGGTGGGAAGAGCAGAGCCATCGAAGATCCTGAGAATGCTCCAACAAATGAGATAAATAAGGCAAGATGGGGAATAAGTTCTGCAATTGCACCTATAAAAGAAACAGTTAGTACTCCATGGCAAAATCTATTACAGAAACTTGATGTAATGCTTGATTTTTAGTAAAAGTAGGAATCGGTACAGTTTTTGTAAGAAATCCATGTACAAGGATAAACATTTAGAGTTTCTAATATGGAAAAAACAAAAAATGAGCTGACATGTCAACAACACAATTCCGTATCGCGCAAAATAAATGTACGCTGTCTGGTTTTCGACTGGGATTTTTCTAGTCATCCATTTTTCGACTCGTTCCATTGGAATGAAAAATTGCAAAGGATATGACACCATCACACATATCGAAAAAATGAGCTTAATGCTTTGGTACAATCTGAAATTAAAAAAATTTTTATACTCAAAAAACCAAAAAAAACTGAAGAACAATACGATGAAAAACATCGAGAAACCAAATCCCACGAAAACTTTAATTCAGTTACAGCTATAGAATTTAGGGAATTTAAACAAGTGACTTACGGTTCGTGTGGTACGTCCAGAGTGATGGTATCGCTAACTTCATTACCAACAGCAAGGTAACCGTAAAATCCCATCATCGCAAATATAATCATCACAACCAAACATGAACAATTCAAAACTCCATTCCATTTAATAAAAAGTTGTGGCTGACTCATACGACTTTCTACCGGTAAAATCTATTAATAACAGAATATTCAAATTGTCACAATATTGATCTGTAGCCCTTCCGAAATATATTCTTCCTTTTCAGCAAAATGAATCTTATAAAAATTTCATAAAAAGTTTCGGTAAAGAAAATCTATAATTTTTGGAAATGACAAGATTAAAATCCGATAGAAAAAAACTGTCTGGCTAGCAAAAACTTTGTCATATTTTACTCTACGATTGAATGAAATTAATTTCTATATTTTATCGAACGCTAAAAAAACGTGAATACTAAAATCTTGTATCATACCACGGCGACTCCCTCAAAAGCAAACAAAACTGTTCCGAAATAAAGAGGAATATTTTCAATCTGTCCAATAGCTGGAAAACCGGACGACGGTTTCAAATGAGTGAAGAAGAAGTACAACAAGATAAATACGGCGGCTGTAAAAAGAGACATTTCTAACAGTGAAGAAATAGCGTACAAAAAACTACTGGGTTATTTCTCAGCAAATAATGAGATTTAGTAATAATATAAAACAGTGAATGAGAAACTTACATAAATATAAGCAGTTGGCAAGAAGAGCAAATGGAGCTAGCTTATTTAAATGACGAATCGAGCAGATCGACAGTATCGGAATAAGAAGCAATACCATCCAAACTGATCTCGGCATATGAATTATCGTGTTCATATCGAAAAACTTGAAGGAACATTTCACGAGGGAAGATAGAAAAATTAATAAATGAATGTGCTAAAGTCCATTAAAATAAATTTATAAAAGAAGAAGGCATACGCTTTGGACGTTATCAGCCATAAACACAAAATATACACAACAGAATCCAAGTTGCGCACAAAACATATTAATATTTAACAGCTGTCTGTAAAGGACTATCAATTTTAATGTAAAGACTGAAATATGAAGTAGATTATTTAAAATAAAATTGAAATCACACACTTTATCTCAAATAATGATTTATAACATTGAAGTTTATAGCATACTTAAAGAAATATCCATGGATACTTATCCAGGTTGGTCCGCTTTCTACGGCACTCCGCATGACGTTAGCATAATCAATAACATCTCTTCCGTTTCTGTAAAATGGAAATATAAAATCTGTATTATTTAAATTCCATTTTAATCACTCAAGGCAATCATAATTACTATCCTTTCATTAAAGAGACGTAAATTCCTGCATATTCTCGAAATCCTCAACAAATTAACTGAAAAAATGATTTTGTAGAATCTGCGATTTTGAAAAAAAGAAATAAAACTAACCTTCGACAGATGTAATGTGCAGCATAAACTACCAATCTCATGCAATATAAGCATATGGCACACAGTATAACCATTAGAACCAAACCCAACTTAAAAAATGTTGCAAACATAATCGAAAATGTTTGAGTAGAAAGATGGAAAAAGAAACGATAAGAAGGCCAGCAACTCACCCATAGTCCAGCATGTTTAAAAGCAAGAGGCAATGAAAGTAACCCAGTGCCCAACATAGCTTTGACCATATGAGCGAACGCTTGTTCAGGACTCAAGCTATTGTTATTCCTTGTTCGTTCTGCAAAAAGATAAGCTTCTTCGTAATCAACACCTCCACCATCATTCGATGAAACAATCACGTCGTCTTCCGCTGCTGTTACATTCGACCCCATCTGCAAATATTATCAATACAGTCTTCGCAATAATCTTATTTCATTCTGAAACTAAAATATTTCAATGATAAAATCACTCGAACTATTAAAACTTCAGGCTTTAAAACCTACTCGAAAATTAGTAAACTGATTAATTAACTTCTAAAATATCATTTCCATTTTCTAATTAATTTATTGACAGGTCAAAGAGAAAACGCAAAGGCTTATCTGATGCCGTGCAAATGATAGTAAAATTTACACTCTGCTCGATCTGTAGCTGGGAACTGGCGGACTGCGACTTTCTCCAAAACCAACCAGTAACAGAAGTGTCTTCCCAATTTTAACATATGTTCCTATTTCCTCTTCTCGAACTCAATAATTATTTCTGGAATAAAGTACCGAGAAGCTAGGTTACTTTAAGTAATCTTTAATACTTTAAGTAACATGGCGCAATTGTGCCATTTAAAGAGATGGATTCATTTACTGAGCAAACATACGGAAAAAACCATATCGTATCGTTGTGTGAATTTCTTATTAACAATTCAATAGCGGTTGGAAAGCATTCCAAAGAAATGTCCGTCGTATTTTATATATTTTTCTTAATCATATTTTCAACTAATTAGACAGAAGCAAAAATGAGTCTTAAGTGGTAAGTATATCGGATGGATATTCTAAACTTTCTTAAATAAGCAGTAGAAAAGTTTCGCACAATTCTATCCCTCATTTTCTTCACTATTTTGGATAAGAAATTGAATTTTTGTTAAGATTATTCAAAATTGTTTTGTCCCAAGTTGGCGGAATCTAAAAATTCTTTTAAGATTTCTCAAATTCATTTTCATAAAAGTCATATGCAAAAGATTGATCGGTTTTACACTGATTATAGATTAAGAATTCTAGTTTCATTCATTTCATTATCCACCAGTAATATTTGTCATTGAGGAATTTATTTTGAATTAGGATAAATGTGGTAATTTAGGAAAGGTTCGTATTAATTATTTGATTTATGATTTTGTTTATTGATGCCAAACCATTGTTTTTTGATAATGCATCATAGGAATCAAGAACTTATCCCTTCACTTTTGTTTTTTCCACCCTTTATTGCAGTATTTGCTTTTGTTTTCTTTAGCATCTTTATTGATTTTTGCAGGAATTCAAGAAACTAATCCTTATTTTCTCTATATGGAACACTTTTTTGAAACATTCAGTTCGTTTTTATATAGAGAAATTTTGAAAAAATGTACCAAATAAGTTGTGAAAGTACTATTATTGGTAATAATATATTTTCTTCAAACAGTCAGTCATATTCTTTAAATTATAATTTTGAGTTTTACTTAACGTATAAGTTTATACCAGATTTTTTACCAATCATATCGTTTATGTTTCGATTTTATTTGCAATATTGCCACAAACTGATCGATGAGCAGAACCCTATATAAAACTCATTGCAAATTTTATTCGTGAAAATACTACAGTAAATCAAGAGTATATTACAGAAATAAATCCATCATGCAAAGCACAACAGAATTTTGTTGGATAGCAAAGGAATTTTAGAAGCAGAAGTAATTGTGGAATTTACATGAGATTGTTAAAAAGTTTTCTGATCTGCCTTAAATTAAACCTTCGTGTCATATCCCATGTGTCACGTCTCAATAATTGATTATGCCTCGATGAGCAGAATTCACTTTATTTTTTTTTTTCATTTTAAGTACACATAACTTCTGACATGAATCCATAACATGATTCTTAACACAGTCACCGAGTACTACCTTTCAAATGAATTTCAGAATGATGGTATAACTAGTGTTAGTATAATTTTTCAATCATTATTGAAAATGTTTTCCCGCATTTATGAATAATAACTTAATAAAAAAAGACCAAATACTTTACCTTCATTAGCTCCTTTCTGCTATTATCTTTGTGGAAACTCCCAGATAAGGTTTATCTTATCCGAAGCTTTAATTTTATAAAATGTTGAAGGAAACTGATTTGTAGTAAACAAACTAAATTTCATCAAAAAAGAAATAACTAGAAAACATCATTTCATATATATAATAATAAAACAAATCAAAAATCAACTTTAGTGCATTTACAAATAAATTATATTTTTTTGTTAAATAGAAAAATAATCTCATTCGAAAATTTCTTCTTTCATCAATATTTGAGCAATTTGAATGCTATTTTTCCAACACTAATTACAATTATGTATTATATTTGGACTAGAGGATTTACATTTGTAAAATAAGATATATTTTATGGATATTCACATTTTTATTCGAATGAAATTCAGTAAGGTTCTAAGGACTTGAAGGACTGAAATTTTTTAAATTCCAAAACTTTGCAAATTAATAACAAAATTAGTTGTAACTGAAAACGAATCAAATAAAAATAATTGAATTATGCATATCATGCTCATGCTTTTTCTAATACTTCCTCCAATTGAGAATCATAACCTTAGTACTTGAGATTTATTATCATCGTTAAGTGGCGCTAGCTCTGAAGACAATTCACTTGATGATACTCCACTGCTTCCCGATGACTCCTGAAAAATTAGGGAATTAAGCGTTTAAACTAATGTTTAAACAAAGCTACATGTAGTTTATACGAAATTTACAATTGCTAACAGAAGAAACAAAAATTATTCACTTATAACTTCAAGTTTTTAACAAAATTCTAAACAACTCGGTTAACTGGATTAGAATGCCCTAACTCTCACGGACGATTCCATTGCCTCTTTACTAATGATACTAACCTGATCAAGAGCCTGAAGTGTTTTTTCAAAAAATGTACCACGACCGGAAGTATCATTATCATAATCGTAGTTGCCCATTGTATCCCCAATAGGAAGCAAGCGCCGTCTGAGAACAACCAACCTAATCGGTTCACCATTTGCCTCAGTAACTAATTTGGTGAACATAAGTGGTGAACGAAATGCTTGCCCGGGCATTTCATTAATTTCCAGAAAGCTGAAAATTTCATTTCTGGTCAATTGTTAGTAATGTATAAAAATGAAAAATTCACAAGAAAAAATTATTGCAGCGCACCAGTCTTGCTCCCTTAGCGGAATGTTAGCACCGTTGACTTTTGTGACTTGCAAACAACCAAACCTCCCCTCAGCCACAGTAATATCCCGAGTTGTTAAAGGTGTCTCCAGTGCAACCACTTTGTCGTAACTGGTTGATCGCACCAATTTGAATAGCGGTATCACAGGTTTACCTCTCTATAAAAAGGACTGGTTGATTTCAATCCAGCAATTATGCGAGGAGATTGCAAATCTGATAATACTTAACATATTGCATCATTTTAGTATCATGATTTATTAAACCTAAAGGGAATTTCGTGCTTATATAAGACTGAATAGTACCTTAGACCTAACACCACCAGTTCCGTTTATTTCAACTGGTGGATTTGTCTGTCGTACCTTCAGTGCTCGCAGCTCATTCAATATTTTGGTCCTTGTGTGCTCCGTTGATATACCAAGCTGCTCTGCAATAAGTAAGTTGCACTCTCTCAGTAAGATATTCCTCACAAACTTTCAGATAATGTTAAGTATTTTCGAACCATAAAATAATCTATATGAAAAAATATGCTTCTCTTATCTCTCTCTTATCATCTTATGACTACATAAAGTAAAAGTGAATAGAGAGATGAAAAAAATTTTAGTGCAGTATACCAAGGGTACTGTTATCCCATCGTTCCACATCAGCTCCATTAATATCATAACCGATCATTACTGATGCCACATCATCTAATTTACAGTGTTGCAGCCATAGCAGAACATCATCTAAACTCCACTCCTAAAAAAAAATATTTATCCATTACTTGTTGAATCAATTCTCTAATTCTTTTATTCCAAAAAAAAAAAAAACTGACCTAAAAGATCCCACAAAGTTCATTCATCATGGCACCAACCTAATATAAAAGCAATATCGCGCACCCTCACCTCCTTCACATTTTTTTTTGTACAAAAACTGTTGCAATAACTTTTAAGTTATATTGGACAATAAAGAAGACGGAATTGATATTTTCTTTAGTCTTAGAATTGTTTCGCTTGCAAGAAATACAATGAAACGATAATTTAACATGTTTTCAAAAGCATACAGCTATGGGTTTCTTTTTCCATAATGCTGCTTGTTTCTTTTCATGAGCTCGGCGATTACGATTTTGTGCTCGACAGGCTTCCATATTTTTCGGCAACATACCTGCACTGTCAGATATCGTCAAATCCGGACAACTTTTTCGCAGAGTTGATCTTAAATATTTTTAGGTCAGAATACTTATTCTAATACTGCTTCACATTTTCTCCTGGCATATCATACTCTGACATAGCTAATTGTTTCTGATTTCATGATATAATATAAAATATCAATATTAGTAATGAAAAAAAAAAGTTGAACTCGCTTTAAAATCAAAAACTTATTCAAATATACATTAAATCATAACATTTGAACTATTTCAAGTTCATAAAAAGTACTGCTGTTGACGGTCGTTACTAGATGATGGGCTTGACTCTGATGTACCAATATGATTTGTCGAATCTGCATCAATTAATAAATGTGCTGTAAATCACACATGATTATGCAGTGATAATAGATTTATGAGTACAGGATAGTCCCTTTGCTGTGGATTGATACTAGAAATATATCAAATTTTTATCTTATAGAAAATTAAATATCATAATATCTTTTAAAAATAACGAGATGAAAACATCAGAAATTAAACATCTTTCTAGCATCTCTAACTTAATAAAATCCTTAAACTTAATAAAAGTCCAATTAACCTGTGCATCACTCTACAATTAAATGTAGTCATTTGTTATTTTGGTTGGACAATCTGTTATTCATTGAAAAATCGGAAAATGATTTTATGCATAATTCATTTGAAAGGTACAGAAATATTTACTTCCTTTAATCTTTAATCTTCATATGTAGCAGTTGCTGCTAATCAATTTAAAAGTAATTTCACATTATCAATTTTTATCCAATGAACATTTATGTGTGATAAATTTTTTTTAACTGAAAAAGTGATGAAAATAGACAAAATTTCTGAAATGACTATTTTTTGCCAAGTGAAAAAGGAAGTATGGAATAAGTACTCACTAAGTGATGAGGGAAGCATTGGAGAACGCTCTCCTGTACAGAAGAAATGCTTTGAAGTTGTTGACGAAAAACCACCGCCTTTATTGTTACTACGAGTGTGAGTATTATTTGGGAAAACCTAAAATTCATACGAATATGTTAGCATCAGTCTTACTTGACATGAAGTATGAAGTAGCAGTTAACAAAATTATTTGTTTGGAATTTCTATGAAAATCGATTGAAATCCAAAAAAAATTAAGGAATTTTTTCAAAAATTGCAAAACAAGAGGAAAATACTTACAAGCAGGAACGAGAATAAGAGTGAAAAATGAAATAATAATTACCTCAGCAACGGGACGATGCCACTGCCTTCGAATTGCTCCAACTGACTTAATACCACCAAAGCGTCTCATCATACCAAAGCGAGATTCATCTAAAATAACATAATTTGCATAGATAATAGAGTGTCTCCGCAGAAGGTGATCTCCATAAAGAAATTCATTATTTCATAATTTCTTATTCGAACTTAAAATTTAATTAGATGAATAGTTAGAGAAAGAGCGGATAAATAAAAGAAAAAGTAAAGGAGATATTTGGCATATATTATAAGATTCAAGGAGAAATTAAAATTCCATTCATTGAGTAATTCAAAGTTCATCGTTAGAATTCATAAAAATCTCTGGTAATTAATTTATGGCAGAAGAATAACTGGCTAATATACGTTTAACTAATGAAATGAAGTATAGTTGTATGTCTGATAAATACAAAGTCAAAGGATGATTTGAAGACAATGACCTTCCAAAATATTGAGAATCCAGTCTCGACGAAAAAAGTTATTAACTAGTTTCTGCTTTCATCTTTTCCGTCCATAAACTCTAACAAACCACTTGGTTGTAAGCTGTTTACTTGTCCAACACTGTCAACTGACTGTTTCTAGGAAAGAAATGACCAGTTGCGTTGCAATACTGTTCATATTCTCATCCAAAAAACTTTTATAATCAAAGTCATAAGAAGTTTTAACAGATACTCATTCCTATTGCATTTCAAATTGATTGACTTTGGCTGTTTATCACAGAAACTCTTAAGAGACCCACCATTTGATGAAAACGATCTTAAATAAATAATTTGTTCATTTTCATTTGTTCTTAGTGAAAAACTATCAAAAAGTTGACCTGTTTCCAAGTTTTATAATAATCAAGCAGTCAATTTCAACTAAAAATGAGTTGTTCACATCTAAATCATGACGCTAACCTTGATATGTTAAATGAAATAATGTATTCTCACTAAAAAAATTATGGACGCGCTACAGTGACAAAAAAACTTATTGAAATTCCTGATATTGTTAAAATAAGAAATCTTCAGATAAAATCAAAAAAACAGGCGAAAATCAATATCAAAAGTTATCTGTTATCAATAAAATATAGTGAAAATGAAAAATTACGGTAGTGAAAGCATCTGACTTTTATAAATAGGTGAAAGAAATCGAAAGTTAATTAGAGGACAACTATTTTTTTACCTTTAGTACAATACCATAGCTAGACCTATATCAGTGAAACTAATCTTAAAGGAAGAATATTTTAGCAAGGACTTTTTTCGATAACGAAGTAACATTTCAGGCAATTTTTACTGCAAATAACACATACTTCTTCACCAAAAAAAAAAATCTATATTCGACTTATAGCTTCTAAAATCTTACAAATATTTGCTTGTAAAGATCTCTAAAAAATTTATTCAAAACAGGAAAAAAGCAGAAGTTTGAATAAAAGAATAAGAACTTAAAACTTGCAGGGAAGTTCATTATTTCTCGCGGATTAATGTTGATTAGCAATCCAAATTTGATTTTCATCATTAATGAATCAGTAATCTCTATTATTAAAACACATAAACATTAAACATTTCCAAACAATTAGTTACTCTATAAAGCAAGCAAATTGATATACTACTGATAAACTTACCATTGCGATGTACGTCACTGTCATCGTCATTGTCAGCATCATTGTCAATAATGTCATCAATGGGGTATGTATGAGTGGTTGACAAAATTGGATCACATTCTTCACTAGTTTCCATTATTTCACCAAATTCAATTAATTTATTATTATTATTATTATTTCTGCATAGTTGAGGATGTAACCCACTGTGTTCGAAATCATCACAACTTTCACTCTTCTTTAGGCTCAATGTTCGATGACTGGAAAAGTATAATACGAGTAACTCTATATTTTGCATTGATTATAATTATGTACTTCAAATTTAATCAAATTTATGCAATTCAGATAATTAACTTTTCTTCAATCATCTCACAGATAAGCGATTCGACATCTTAGTCGGCTTCTTAAATAAGGAAGGACTAGAGCTATGATATTTGTCGTCTCTTTTCCTAGATCGTAACTAAAGTTTTTTGACAGTGCAAATGGGCAGGATAAAGTATGGTTTGGCTCTATGGATGCTTGCATCTTCAAATTTTACGTAAAACATGCATAGTGAATTTGGATATAATACAATTTAGAAAGAAGAAAAACGAGATAAACTACTTTTAATTTGGAAATTTGTTTTGGGTTTTGAAAAGATCACATAATTTGGACGCAAATTATTCCACAACTGAATTTTTTGTAAAGACGGACTTCATGAAAAGAGAATTTTTTTTTTTTTGGAGTAGTGATTTAGGCAAGATAGGACGATCAAGATGTAATACTTCTGTTAAATAAGCAAGTAAAGTTTAGAATAGTATGTTAATTTAACGAACAAAAAGAACCTCTGATCACCAACAAAGTCATCGAATCGATTCTGCTGCGATATTTCATAGACCGGAAAACGACAACCCGTTACTTGTTCTAAAAAACAATTTTCAAACACTTATGGAATATTATGTAAAAATAATGTAAAAATATGAACTCATAAGAAACAAGAAATACAGGAAGAGTCTAAAGTGTATTAATGAAATATTATTGGTTCTATCTTTTGTCAAAATGACCACTATTTCTCATCAGTTATTATTATTTTTTTTGCTTTATCCGTTGTTCTTAAATACAAAATTACTGTTTTATCATTTGATGACAATTTATTACATTTTTTGTTAACTGATATTCGATACTAAGACACTGGGATGAATCGAAAGAACTCAAAAATGAGAATATCTGTTGAATATTCTTTCAGATAAGTAAGGATGAAAAATTAAAATTGATTTTTTGGCATTAGTAGGAGTGTATTTGCATCTCATCCTATTTAATAAAAAAGATTTAATAGTGTACTGAAAGTGTAACTTACGTGAATCAGATCTGCGACGAAAAGCTACTATATACTTCAGCATATCATATCAATCAAATGCGATCGGCAAATGTTCACAGAGAAGTCCAAAAATTGTAATATTAGAGAAGAGTAAGATATTTTCTCATAAAATAAGAGAATGGAAAAGACGTAAAACCTATTTTCCCGGATCCCTCCATACCGAGGATCATACTGACACACTGTTATAAATAACTAATTGTCAGGACGAAAATTATTACGGAGGAAAAACACTCCCATCTAACACAGATTGAAACTAATTTTGAAATGATCTCTTCGGAATATGCGATTGAAGCTATTGCGATAATAATATCTTCTTCGTTGTGGTGATGAGACGATGGAAGATATTGAATGAAGTAATAATTCGAATCGAAATTGAAGGTTAACTACTCTTAAGGCAATTATAGTTCACTTTTTATAAATAAGGTGATATTAAACAAAGCATTTGGACAGAGGATACTATGGTGAAATGAAGAATTAGATACGTTTTTTTGAGAATTGTTCTTTTCTATCAAAAAGGAAGGATGACCTTCTAGTTGCTCGATGATAGAAGTGGAGTAACAGTGACGGTAAAAGTAGTAAAAGATGTGAATAGGCCCATTGCAATACCATTTCATTGATTAAAATTGTAACAGTTCGTGAGAAGAGGCAAATACTTAAGCGAACAATTTTTTTTTAATTGAATTGTCAGCGAGGACATTAGTGTTTCGTATGAAAATGGGACCCATCCATAGAACTACTCCCTCGTAATTTTTTTAAAAGGAAAAGAAAGACATTCCTACGATTACAATAAACTTAAAGAAATATGCTTATCGAAGATATTTCTTTAATATTCAAATCATCACGTTGGATGATGGTGAAACGTTATTCAGTATCAATTTTGACTTTGACAAAAAGATAAACATACAGCGAAAATGGATACCTACCTAAAAAACTAATTAATGATATGGTACTCATATCATAGCAGAAGTTCATCTAAGCATGCTATAAATGCATCAATTAAAATGTTATAGAAACTTTATTTCAGCAAGAAAATTTTATTTCAAAACAAACTAAAAAATCCGCAAAAAATTTGGAATTCTTTGTTCAATATATTTTACAAATTAACTTATTTCTCGAAAACTATTCCTCACCAATAAAATTGTTTACCAAATGCCTTGTTATTGGATACAGAAACGTAAACTTTTTGATAATGGTACGAAATGTTTCGACATCTACTTTGTCTGATCGGTTTTCCGTTATCTATATTTCTTCCGGCAGTTTACTTTTCCTTGGATATAATGGTGCGAGAAAGAAACTGCTCAATTCAATTCTATTAGGGTCGAAAGTAAGCACAGTGTAAAAAAGTATGCTACAACAGCCATATGCAACATGGCGTATAATGTAATTAAAGAAGTATGAAATATGTTTAATAGAATTGATAATAATAAGGAAATGTAATGATATAATAATGATGATGATAAGGTTAGAAGTGATAATGACAAGTTGCATTTCCATACATGCACAGTGGCTCTTCCTTATCATTAGGCCACAGGTATTGTTTAAGTTACTTTGGCTCTTTGGAAAACAGCCAATGACTTAAAAAGTATGACTTAGCTTTTCAAGTGTATCTGTTATCGTTGCTTAGATTTGGAGTAGTGTTAAATGAATTCTGCACTGGGATGACAAATAAGAAATTACGTAGAAAACAAAATCTACTTATTAAGCTAACATAAGAGAATGGCCGAAGACATTGGTCGAAGAATCCGATTTCCATGACAATGGAAAAGCTCTTAAAAGATTTGACACAGCATATCTGATAGACCTGAGCGATCTGTGAGAAGTGAAAAGGGGAGAGGAAGAAATTAAAACCTCACAGTCATTTATTTATTTGCAGCATACTATTGAAGAAGTAGACGAATTATTTTGAAATATGAGTAATACTTGCATGGGAATACTTTTCAGAGGTCATGACGTCTGATAGATGGCAAATGATGATAGAGTAAGAATAAATGATATATTAAATGTGCTAGAAGGATCGTACTTTTCTTAATAAAGCATCATTTTTGCGGTATTTAATCATCTTATGAATGATCCCAAAACTTTTGGATTATTTGTACCAAATGATTATTTCCTAATTGAATTAAATTATTCCTATGCTTGTGCACAGATGTTTGGCTTTTTTTAATCAAATGATTACGAAATTGTTGAGAAAGAAGAAAAGATATAATGAATGAAAAGTAGAAAATGAAAGAAAAAACATTAAAGAGGATTGTATTTATCGTACATTTATAAAGTCTTCTTCTGTCCCCGCCATCCTTCTAACAACTGGTTTATCAAAAAAAAAAATACTGAAAAAATGTTCAACAGCTGCAAGCTGCAAACTGTTGGTACGAGTGAATGACAACCGGATGATATTTAATTTTTGCACCAAAAAGAATGGTTTCAATCAAACATTAAATTGTTTATCTTTCTGGAAAGATAAACAATCATCTTTTTTTTTTTAGATATTGAAATAATAAGAAGATTTAAGTATTGAAATAAACATGGCAAATTTTTGGGAAAAAAGATGGAGCTATCGAAAAATGAAAAAATACTTCGATCATGCAACTAACAGCTATACAAACCTTTTACTGTTAGATAAAGAACAGTTTGCATAAAAATTACACGAAAAAAACGATGAAAATGAAATTACTCAATAGTTATCATTATTTAAGGATGCTAAATTATCATGCATAATTAAGAATATATAACATTTACTCAGTGACCAAAAATAAGGCATAAAAATTTCCAGCTTAATTCAAGAAAACGAGGAAGTGAGAATTTACAACATAACCAAAAATACTTCAAGGTCACAATTTTTATTTCCTTTTCCGGAAAAGTAAAAACGTGGTTTTTCTACCTATCCTTCAAATATATATATATATATATAAGGATTTTCAACTGTCACTGAGTGTGTCCATTCTTACCCAAATTAGCAACAAATAAACAGATATGATTTAAAATGATTTCTATTTTTCTCTGATTTCATTATTTTTCACAGCATCTCTATCCCTACTATTCCTTCTCCTTCTTTCATTTGAAATTTTAAAGGTCAGTTCATATTTTATCTGATGTTGCAACAAGCTCTGACCCACGCAGTCAACCATACCTTTAAAAAAAAAAGAAAAAAAACAATTACAAATATAAACGAGTGGTTCCAAGTCCGGGAAAGCAGTGTTTCTCATTTCATTATTGCTCATCCCTTAAAAATGTCTCAAGCTGAGCTAATTATTCCAAACATCTTTCCTCCGTCTTTAACTTCATAATTTCATTGATGATTTAATAACCAAAAGGTCCTTTTTTTCTACGTTTCCAGCAAAGTCAAACAAAGTATGAAACGAAATGTCTTATTTCCTAAATTGATTTCACCGTATAAGTCTTATAAAAACAATAATACACTAGCTTGTCGTGGCCTTTGAAATCTGTTTCTTGATCTTAGAGTAATCAATAATAATCAGCAACCTCAGTGATAAATTATAAGACAGAGTTTCTTCCCCTTTTTTTACTCTTCTTAAAATACGACAAAATTACGTCTTTATAGATTCACTTCTCTCTTTTTTTGATTTCACATCCTCAGTTTCATAAATTATTCGACGACTCAATTAATCAAATTTATTGAATCAAACTATTAGTCTAAATGAAATTTCTTTTTAACTACGCTGTATTGGTAAATATTACACTTTCTATTTTTTATTGATTTTAACTGTATGCTATTTAAATTGTATTCTCTATTTAAATTGTAACTTATCTTGATATTGTTTGTTGTAATTTCATTTTGCTTCCAATTTTTTTAGCTCTACAATATTATTTAGATTTTTTTTAGTCTGTGACATATTCTCCACGAACTATGCTTATGAAATTCTACAGCACTCCATCATTACACTGTACTTTACAATCGAGCATACCTATTAATAACAACCAAAAAAATAATGTTCTCATGGTTTGGACTATATTCCACGAAAATACTGTACTGATTAAGCCTTTCGGCATTTCAAGCATTTTCTCTAAAATGTAGAAACATATCAAAAAAGAAAACTGATTCCGATTATTGCAAGTTGTCAGTCCAACTGGAATGATACCTCCAAGTGGCCTAGTTGCTATGGAAGGATCTTTTGTCGAAAAATTAAAATTCTCGGAAACGCGGGCGAACTGCAGTGGAGCTATTGTAGTCTGAACTATTTCTTCTGGTGTTCGTACTGATTCTCTTTTCGATTCATCATAAAACTTGTCTGATCTGCAAATTACGAATTAAGTTTTTTAATAATTTTACATATTAATAGATAGTCTAAGAAGTAAATAATTTAAAACATTTCATTTAGCGAAATATGAATCGTTGTCTTGAGTTGGTGTTATCTTTTGTAAGGAAAGAAGTGAAAGAAACCAATAAACCGGTAGCTTTTTAATAATTTATTACAGATGATGTGCCATGGACAAAAAATTGCTGAAGTATTGAAATGAAAAGGTGTATATCGCAAACATCGGAAGACATTTGCAGCCAACAGTCATTTTATTGTAACAGTACGTTTTTCACTCAAAGTCAGAATAAAACCGATAATTTAATACATCTTATAGCTTGAAGCAAACAGATATGAGAAAAGGATATTATCATAAACTTCACTTATCTTAAGTTTTGGAGTCCAAAAATGATTTAAATTACTCGATAAACCTTCAAAAAAATGCGATGCAAATCACGCAGTTAAATTTTGCTAATCTACAAATTAATTGATCGAAAATCTTTAACTATTAAAGCCTCTAACTATTCTATTAAATATCTAATGAATCGGTCAATTGGTGTAATTGTCAAACATATGCACCAGAAATTTAATTCGCAGCTATTATTATAAACAGTAATGTATGGTAGCTAAATTTGATCTCACTTCCTTTACACTACATTATCCCTCGACGTTATAATATCTTTCTTCAGTTCTTAATCATAAAACAAGGAAAAACAAGACACAAAGAGAAGGAGTGCTAGAATCAAAATATACTTGAATAGAAATAGAAAACTCAATAGTTGAAGTTTCTTAAATTTTAAATTATATTAGTTACAATAATTAATGCATAAAAGCTCAATTATTTTTAAAGACAGAACTAAGAACAATTCATTCTTTTATAACGAGAATGAATGTTAGTTAACAAGTAAGGAAAGACAACGGCAATCGTAATTCAAAATAGTCGATGAGTGTTTCATTTGGAAATGTTCAGGAAACATACCCAATTTGGTATATTAGCTGCATAATGACGACTGGAATTCAAAAATTTTTCATTCTTGTTCTAATCCCATCAATAGTTAATTCTTTTTAAATACTTAAAACTTTAAGATTTCGATGTCATACATTAAAATGTTAATAAATCAAAGGATTATCACTTCTATTGCATTTACACGTAGGATCAATCTGTATTGGATGGTATTATGTTTGCTATATTATTCAAGAAAGTAAAAGTATTTTACCGGAAGCGCAATTCGATTAAACTAGTGTATTTGGCTAATATGATTTGTTTACTTACTGAGAAGCAGTGAGCATTACTCTCGGGAGATAATGGAAAGTAAATACGAGTCATACTTCTGGGGAGAATGAAGCATATTATCACTAAGAAATGAGGGCGGTACAGGAAAACGCAATTATTGTATGAAATATTTCAAAAGAATGAAATTTGGAATAGGGAAAAGAGAATAATGGACCGAAAAGTTCATCAAACTGATAATTTTAAGTGAACTGTAGCAAAAAACAAATGCAACAAAGAAATTAAAATGCAATGACCTCGTCACATTTTATCTGCAAAATCACTTTTCCACTTTTCCTCTTATTTCTCTTTTATATGATTCGACCTATTATTTTTAGCAAAATCATGGAAAATTCTACAGCTTTAAACTTAGTTAAAATGGAAATACAACAAATTCAAAACAAAACTTGTTAAGTCGGAGGTTTTTTGATAAGTTGGAGATTTACAGAGAAATCACATCTTTTGGATAGCTAATAATTTAAATTATGGAAATGTAAAACAGTGACCTATACAGAATTTGGTGTTTAAATAGGAATGAATGCAAACGTTGAAAGTTTGTGACATAGTCTAATATATCGGTCACTAAGCATGAGACCATCCTTTTATAATCAAATAATGACAAAGTCACTGCTTATAATGATATTGAGCGTATTCTGTCAACGAATTAGTAACAGTTAGTATTATCATGACTGCTTAGAGTGATCTCCTGGAAGATCACGTTATCGACCATCAGACTATTCTGTTTTCATTAGTTGAAGTTCGATAATTGATGACACTATATAAAACATTTCCTTAGAATAACATTTTCTGCTTGTTTATCTTCCGACTCCAATAATTAGTTTTAAATAATTTTGTAAACTTTAGAGAAGATTTTATGAAACACAGATATAAAATTTTTGCAATGGGGAGAATTTGGTAATATCCAATGGTCATTTATTGAGACGAGATGGTCATTATGAACAGACCCGGACTATTTACACGATAGCACTGATCATAATGGAAGTGCTTTTGGAATGGCAATGGAAAGCTCAATCTGGTCCGATCAGCTGATACTAACTGCTGTTGCGCTGTTGCTAAATTTGTTGACCTGAATTTTTCATTATTAATACCAATTGACAAATTTGATGTTGCATGCGAAAATCGCCTGCTCCTGCAACATTCAACAGAATGTTCAAATCTGTTTAATCAGAAATGAAGAAAAGCTGTGCCTTCAACGATATTGGCATACAGCATTGAAAAGCATTCAAGAATGGCATATCACGTTGTCAAACAACTGAATCTTGATTAGGTTAGCATTCCTGTAAACAACGACCTTAAAAGCTGATGCTAAGCTGCTCTATGTAATCTTTGTTTATAGTCTTCTGAATTACTTCAAGCATGTAGAAGAAGTTACAGCATTGAATTAAGTTATTGAAGTAATTTCGGTGCTAAGACTGGTTTGAATTTAAAATCCACGAGTGCATATTATATATACCAATAAAATGGAGCGAATAAATCAGTAAATAAATACTTACGACTTTCCAGTCTGTACGACAGTTATGTCATGCACAGATGGGCGCATTTTTTGTTCTTTTTTACCGCGTAATGTCCAATTTCCGCTAAAGAATCCTGTTTTCAATCGACCGCTACTGCAATTATATTGGTTTCTTTTTACAAATTTACAATTCTTACGTTTAATGGAAGTATCTAAAAGAATTAGTAAATAGGACAAACTAATTTTCATTTATGAAAAGAGCATAACATTAATATTTCAATAGTCATAGGGGGTGTTTTCGATATTTTTTCTTAGACAAAGTGTGTTTGTTAATCTTTTAGTGTAGTAACCGCTAATTGTTACATCTCACAGATACAAATAAATTTTCTAAAAATTTAATGTTCTTGCTGACAGGGAAGCAGATGAGAGCCCTTGAAACACTACATAAACAATGATGTACAGACACACAGAACGAATTTTATAAAAATCCATTTGAAATGTCCTACAAAGTAAGTTACTACGCCGAATGTGCTGTCGGTATTGCAAGTTGCTTTCGTTGCTTTATGAAAACTGAAGAATGAATTTGGTTTTTACTTGATATAATTTCCCTGTCCAAAATAAAGGGTAAGTAACAAATTATTAAAGCAAGAAATGTGTATCAAAATGATATATAACTTAGTTACACATATTTGAATGTCTAATATAAAATAGCAGTGTTTAACAATGCAAAAAAACGTAATTATTTCTGCAGCAACCTGAAAGTTTTCCAAATATTTAATAATTTTAACCTCGAAAATTTTGGAGTGTCAATAAGCTGAAGTTTCAATAGTCTAAGAACTCCGGTTATTTAATGAATGTTACTTACTTATATAATCTTTGGATAATTAATCTAGCAAATTGGTCCGTTTTATACCAAACATAATTCAAGTATCATACATTTTAGAACACGTATGCGGTTGCTGCTGCTGAGAAGAACCTGGCTGTATGTTACACGTGTGAGATGACGGTCGTGAATGCATCGACTGATTGTATCGTGAGAAACGTTTTAGTGTCGGTTGATCGGATACTGATTCGTCCATCAAGCTCGCTATCTGGAATGATATGTACTTCAACACGACTAAGACCATTACTTCAATTTCACGTTTATTTAAAGTAATTGTAATTGTATGAAGCTCAAACGTTACATAATTGTTACTTAAACGCTACTCTAATCAATATGAACATATTTATTTAGGATGCATAAGTTGGAGAGACTTTATTTTTAGTTTCAAAGGATATTTCTTGAATCAGAAAAAAAAACTACGAAAATTGTTTATAAAGCAATTAATCATCTTACGTACTGAATGGAAACAATATTCACAAGCAGTTTACAAGTTAAATTGAAATAAAAACAAGTTCTCATAGCGTTTATGCTTCCTGCTTTACTTTTAAACAAAAACAAAAAACTAAATAAATACATTTCTATTCATTCGTATAATCCATTGATAATTTTACTAGCATTACTGAGTCGACTCTTTTAATTCATTTCTTTAGCAACTGACTATCTGTAAACCTTTTTTTCGGTTTCACTCATTATTAGATTTCCAAATAAATGATGGACTGATGTTCTTTTGAATTCGTAATTCACATACAGACTTTTCGAGGGAAGACTCAACTGTGCCAGTGTAACATAACTGACCAAGCCAGTTGTTGAACAATGTTTACATCCAAAAGAAGTGAATAGTAACATAAGTTTATTTTTATTGATTGTTCGGGTTCTCAACAAGCCAGTTGATTTAATGGTAAACGGCACTAGTGAAATAAAATGAACAAATATCAAATCGAGTGATTTACAATACTTTCCACTATACACCTATCATCCCCGTTGTATAGAAAGAATTTTAATTGTGCATGCAATGACTGAATTACTCAACTAAGAAAAATTACAGTTTCCCTCAGAAAAACCAACAAATGTAGTAGGTCGATATCTTTTCCAGGTGCTGAAAGAAACAGAGATATCGGATAGATTTAGGAATTTCAAGAACGTTCATCTATAATTTCTCGGCAAATATTTTTCATCACTGTCCAACAGTGATTATTTTTGTCTATAGCTATAGCTTGAAGAATCTTTAACGCCTCCTAGTTACATAGCTACATAGCCTAGCTACATTAAAGGAAAAAGTAGATCAGCATAATTTCGAATGATATATTTTAGCTTTTATCATTGGATATGTGTGCTTTTCAATAGCCTAGAATTTGGTGAATTCGGTAACTTAAAAACTAGACATATATGAAATTATGACTAGTAACACTCGAAACTAGAATATGCAAATGTGTCCCCATTAAGCCGTTTTTTATTATTTTTATTTATATCTGGTTGGTAGGGGTCTAAATCCTTCCTGGCATGAACAGGGATTAGGAATCGAAGGATTTGCAATTCTCTTTCCAGAACATTCTTGGTGACCACTCATTCAATTCTTCCAAAAGGTGAATTTATCTTTCATTTCAGGGGTGAGAATGTTTGTTGTTTCGCTTTGAATAAATCGCATGTACTAGCTTTAGGTGATGCAGACAGATGTCTTTGCAGCAGAGTAAGCTCAGAAATTCTGTCCACTTCAAAAAAATTCTGGAAAAAGTTTGGCAGACTTAATTTCATCTTCTGCTTCCACCGCAACAAACTTGGGATGGGTGAATCCAGAGAAGGCCTTGATGCTACTAAGATGTTTGGAAAATGTGGAGATGATGACAGTGTACAAGAGCAGAAGAGGAAACGGGAGTGCTATAAAAGCAATGGAGAAGGTTATTCCTATAGTGAATTAGAGAGAGAAAGAGAGAAAGAAAAGAGATGATATGATATTAACCAAATTAAAATTTAATCAGAACTGATTAAACTTAAAATAATTGGAGAGTGTCCTAATAAAGATAATCGAAAGCAAGCAGTAAATAGCATCAGCAGATAGGAGTGATCATTAGAAAATCTTCAGTAGAATCAAAAGCATTAATTTAAAATGAAACTAATTACTCATGTCATATCATTTCAGCGTTTGCTTTTTGAACTAATGAATATTTAACATTTTATTTCATACTACAGCTTATTGGTTAAGCCATAAGTGGAGAAGAAAGAACCTCTAGTATTACTGAAATATGTTATACTCTAAGAAATGTTTGCCAGATATAGTTCGCTAAACTATTTGTTTTTACCTGTGAACCACCACTTTCATTACAGATCGAGACATAATTTGTGAACATTATAAAGTAACTCGTTAAATGATACTGCTAGAATAATTCTGTGTTAACATAACCTGCACTGTAATAATGCTTTATTTTATTATATCTCATAACATATTTTTGCACTTTTCAAAAGCTTCCAGGCTGAGAGGGTGCTGAATATGAATGATAGTCATATTAATTATATCAATAAATAATCACATCAGTTAATAATATAATTAATGTTAATAACAAATTATCCGAGCCAAGCAATTATAGGTGTAATTATAGGTCTCGAAAAACTTACTTCATATGTGTCTATTTCTTGATAGTAGATTTTAGCGTCTTATTCACCTCTTATCGGTTTAAACTGTAAGTGGGGAAGAAGAAGCTCTTCAGAGGGAGAAAAAGTGTCATAAGGAGCAAAATAGAACAGAATCATCTTTAATCATCAAAGGATAATGAAATAAGATTTAGAATCTCATTAGAGAAGTTGGAGAGATTTTCCCAGCGTTGCACACAAGGTCAATTGCAATTTACACCGCTCTTCTAAAGAAATACGCACACAGTCTCAATGTATCATTATGCATGAGAAGAATGACATTAGTCTCACCGTTAATACTTCAATCTCTTTTGTCATACAAAAATGTATTTAAATCAAAAAAAGGACAGAACGGGAAAAGTACTGTGAAAATTAGAAGTTTCTATTCTCAGAAAAAGGATTCCGTGGCAAAATTAATGCTATTATGTAGTTTATAATTAAGCTCCAAAATTAGGACTTCCGAAGTTTTTTTTTTTAGCGAGAAGCAAATGAGATACAAAGATATCTATAAGCACTCATGAACGATTATCAAACCGATACTTCAAACATTTCATATTTGACTTTACATTTTGTAAATTAGCTAATAAATTTTTCCATTAGCTATAACACTTTATTTCTAAGTCTCCGTTATAGTCTTGGTGATATGTCACCTGATTCTTAATTCAATCAAATGAAAAAAAAAAGCTCACCTCGGACAACTGCCTTGATCGTACCATGATTGCGTGTTGCGATGTGAAATCACCACGGTGCAGTGGTAAATCGTCACTTTCAAAAATCCTCAGCACTGGTGTTTGTTGACAGATTTTGTAGCTGACGAGATCAGAATCGCTTAACGGCTGAAATTTATCAAATAAACAAAATTTATAAGAATGCAACTAGTGAAAGTGACGATGAGAAGAGTAAAAACAACTTTTCTTCTAAACAATATGAGAATATGTCGTGAAGAGAAAGGGAAAGAAAAAAGTTATCCTGCAAAATTTTTGAGCAAGGATATTTATGGCAATATTGAAATTAAAAACTTCATTTTATTGCGAAAGAAATTTTGAAATTCTCCCGACAGCAATTTTAATACCTTCAGAACTTCCTATTAATATTAGAAAATGTGCAATTATTAATTAACTAAATTTCAACTACTTTAACAATGTTAAACAATCTGAAGAGAAAGAGAAATATCAACTATTTACATTTGCTCCTTATAAAAACTTAATTTTAGAAAAGTGAGTACTTTGAAAAATAAATATAAAAATTTTAAGATGGATTAACAAAAAAATGCACTAAGTTATAGCTATCAGAGACTTTTCCATCGTTTTATACTCAGAAGTGGAGGTAAGAGAAGACTAATATACTTCCAATTAAGTGAGATGAAATCGAACTTTCTTTCTAAAAAAAATGAACTGGAAATAAGGGATAAATTAAAATGAAGTGTGATAAACATTACTCTGCACAACCAATGAACAAGAAGATAAAATTATGCATTTGTGAGAAGCATATATATATGCAGGAGAGATGTCACTGTCATTGTCCTATTGAAGCAGTAAAAAGAGGTCATCCTGAGCAATACTCTAATAGGTACACTGACCATTATCCGCTTCTGACCTGTTGATATAACTTTGTCAGTTTGAAAGTAGACTTCTTAGTTAATGAATTAATTCAGAATTATTTCAAAAATAAAGAAGATCTAATTTACCCAAATCTACAGCTACAAAAATACTTTAAGTCTCTAGATCTAAATTTTTTTATCTCAATAGATATAAATTTGAGCGCGCAACACATAACGCTGCTTTTTTGGAAAATTTAAGAATACTAAAAATGATTATTAATCTTTAAAAGTTATGCCGAAATTTTTTTTAAAAAAAAGTTGAATTGTAAAAAGAGAATAAGCTAGACTGAAATCGAAGTGAAACAAAGAGCAGATAAAACTATCTTCAAGCTGAATTTACTAATGATTCCTTTAGAAGCAAATTTTAATCAAATTTTAATTTCAATATGCAAAAGAAGGATGAAAAGAAGTACGGAGAAAACAATCTCCACTCATTTTTTAATATATTCCTCTTATTTTAAGAGGAAATCCCACAAATTATAAATATAGATGATGATTTCTTGGGTAAAGTGAAAAACAAGAAGGAAACAGTACCAAAAAATCTTCTTTTTGTTTCAAAACTAAAATGAAATTGCGAGATCCTTCCGTTATTTTGAAATATATTTCCTGAATCAAAAATGTAAATGTCAAGGCAACTTCGGACATCACTTCAGATGTTTGAAATTGGACCTCTTTGATGAAGCATTTAAATTATATTAGTTACAATAATTAATGCATAAAAGCTCAATTATTTTTAAAGACAGAACTAAGAACAATTCATTCTTTTATAACGAGAATGAATGTTAGTTAACAAGTAAGGAAAGACAACGGCAATCGTAATTCAAAATAGTCGATGAGTGTTTCATTTGGAAATGTTCAGGAAACATACCCAATTTGGTATATTAGCTGCATAATGACGACTGGAATTCAAAAATTTTTCATTCTTGTTCTAATCCCATCAATAGTTAATTCTTTTTAAGTACTTAAAATTT